GTTTCATTAATCTGAAACATGAATGATAGAGTATCTGCATGTATATATGACCATTATTTGAGGCTGTTTGAGCACGATTGTTGTTATAGAAGTTACGTATAAAGTTAGCCTGCAAATAATTTAAGATCTGAGAAGCAAAGAAAATTCACTGACAAAAGTTGGCGGCAGCCCGATGTGTATATTCTGTTGGCAATCTCTTCTTGTTCCCTTCAACTTGTCTTTTCTCCATAAGCTTCTGCTCCATCCGTATCTCGCTAATATGGGGATCTTTTCCCGCAACAACTATTGTTCCGCAGCAATCAAGTCCAGCGAGGCAAAGACATCACCAGACTTGCCACTTCAGAATCCGGAAGGAAAAGAAAAGAGCAAAATGTGCCAATACCTCTCAAACTATTATAAAATTCAACTCTTAGCCCTCCAATTATTAATAGACGCTGTTAGCCCTCAAATGAATTATAACACATACTCATAACCCTTTCGTCAATTTGAGTTATTATGTTCAATAGAATAGTGGAAATGGTTCTTGACACTTTTTTTTTTTTTTGTAATGTTTTCGTTAGATATAACGACTCAAGTTGACGAAAGGGTTATGAGCATACGTTTTAATTAGTTGGAGGGCTAAAATTGTCCATTTAATAGTTGAAAGGTCAAAAGTTAAAATTTATAATAGTTTGAGGGCCACTGAAGCATTTTGTCAAAAGAAAATGGAAAAGATGCAGATTTGCAACCTTTTTTTGGCAACCCTTTTAAAATAGAATGATATCAAACCTAAGGTCATAAGAATGATAAATCGAAAAAGAATTAATTCCTTATTAATAACATGTAAATGCTGCATGGAAGCTCATCTTATGCACTTAAAAAGTCAGAAATCAGGTTAATGTTTGAGGAGTACATGCAATTTCATTATTCCATCCTTGCCACACATTAGGCATAATAGAAAATGAGACAAATAGAGCCATACACCAGCAGAACATTTTTTTCTGCCTAAGGTATGTACGCAAAACAAGGCTCCACATACGAAGAGTGAGTGCATTTCCCTTTCAAACCCAACAAAGATTGTCGAAGTAGAATAGACATACAGCATAGCTAGGCAACTAAATTGGTTGTCGCTCTCTGCAAATCTAGAATGAACAATTAAGTCATTACGCAACAGAAAATGCAGAAACATACCATAGGTTCTGCAGGGTTCATTAGTGAGAATTTGTTCCCTCATGTCCGACATTCAGTTAACTGTCCTCCCTTAGGTGATTTTATGAAGAGGTAGAGATATGCAGATTAGCTGTACCATCGAATAGAAGCTAGGAAGTCTGCAAGAACTTAGTAAGAAAGTAACATGGTCAAAGAGCAAAGTTTTCACAATTAAGCATTTGACAAACAGATGGTAAGTACTTGAACAAATAGACAGTAAGCAGAAAATTCACGGGGAACAAGTAGCAGAAAGAAAGCAATATACAGCTAGGAATTCTGTATTTAAAACGACAGACGGAGCAAAACAGACAAGTAAGTTACAACTCAGAGATAAAATAGAAGAAACCAATGATATAACAGCAATGTTAATTGCAACTTCAATATATAAAAAAAAAAAAAAACCACCTGCAACAATTCAACAAATGATGCCTTTGTCAAAGAGCTAAATTAAAACTATTATTAGCACATAGAAAAGGGGTGCAAAATTCGTGACATTTATAACTTATAGATTTCACAGCATTGAACATTACTTACAAATGTTGCTAGCTTAGGAAGTAAAGGAAAAGCAAAAAATCCAGAATAATAAAACTCGATACAACTAAAGTATAATTGGAAAAAATTGAAGGACCCAAAGCGTCAGCAGCAAAGGAGAAATCCAGATTAACGAGAATGTGATGCGTATGGGACTGGAATCGGAAGAAAGCACATACAGCAAAAAATAAAAATAAAAAGAAAAAAAGAAAGCAGAAATCAGCGATATACATCAATAAACTGGTCTTCCCCTGCCACAAAGCAGAACCCGTACCTTGTAATTACTACACACCTAAGAAAAAAAGAAAAAGAAAAAATGGAGAAGCCCGTCATAATTTGGTGGGCGAGGAAAAGGAAATGAGATAGATGCAAACTATTTTGTCCTACTAAGGGACAGGTGTCATGTGTTATCTTGTGTTTTGAAACTCAAACCGCATCGGTGGTTGAATCGGAGATCGAGTAGGCATCTGGTCCAAGTTGACTTAAAAACTCGCCAAACAAAAACTCGGTTAAAAAATCGAATTTGACCGAAAACTGAAAGAACCGCTTCAAATTGGGTTTTTTTCCATCTTTTCCTTTTTTACCTTTTTGTTTTCCTTTTTTTATTCTTTCTTTTAACTACTCTCAAATCTCTTCACAATCATACCATAAATCTCTCTCAAACAACTCCAATAGAAGATCTAAGTTCAAAAGGGATAAACATAAAAAAAAAAGGTAAAAAATTCACCTAGAAATATTTTATCAATTTTATGATTTGACCCCTAGAGTACTAGAAAACTATTATTACACCTAGAAACATTTTAGGCCCTAAATTCATGTACTACTTTTCAAATAAGCCTTTCAATTTGGTTATAAACTTGTTGACTATGCCTTAAATTATAAATTGCTACTTAATTATACTACCTTATTTGTATTGTCTTGTAAAGTATCTTAGAAATATCAAATACACATTGAATCTACCTTTCTTAGTATTAATATGTTTTTAAAAATTTTATATAATATATTAATTTTTAAAATTAAATATATTTATGACATCATGATGACGTCATTCGATTCTTGGATGGATTTGACCAATATAGAATCCATTCACCCGTGACCTCGCCCAAGTCAACGGCGGTCCGAGTTTCAAAACATTGTGTGTTATTTGGAGAGAAAGATAACAACCGTCTCTCTTTCCGATCATTTGCTCCCACTACACAGTGCCAGCCTACTACGTAGCGCCTGTAATATGCTCCACCATCACCTGACATCACCACCAAAACCCTCAACCTCTCGGTCCTTTGAAGTTTTTCTCAGTCCCATCTATTTCCTTTTCATCTCTCAAAGGTTTTTCATAGAACAAAAATGCCCATTTTCAACAATCAACTATTCAACCATGTTCGTACCCTTTGGTTCATACCCATTTTGATATTCTTAGGCCTATCTTGCTAGTTCTTTATGGCCACTCATCTTTCACATACTCATCATTGTCATGTTCTGATTCTTGTCTGCATAATTGTCTATGGACTTGTCAGATTATGTTTGATATTTTCATACTATACTATCACACTAAGATTCATGAGTGGTTGGCTGGTCATGCGCCTGGTGCCCTTCTCCAAGCTATTTTTCCTATACTCGTGTTTGCGGAAACTACATTAGTGCGTCCAGCTTTTGCCCTCGAACATTCTAGACATGCTATCTTTTTCTTGTTTTCAGTGGCTGCTACGATACTGTGCCGCGGGAGGTTGGTCAGAGCTCCAAATGATATAGGATTCATGGCTTTTTTTTTTTTTTTGTAGTGCTACTATATTTGTTTATGTACTGGAGCATTACGTTAGTTGAGAGACTTGGTTTCACGTGGAATTAGCAGCAGTTTTGGTTTTTGTTAAGGGCGCTGCCATGCACTTTGATGCATGATCGACCCGGACGTTGCAGCAACATGGGTTTTGCTTGGATTTTTTGATGTTTGGGTTTTCTGATGTCTGCCATCTTGATATGCTATAGTTGAGCTTCAGCTAGGTACCATTAGCCTCACTATCTTTCTGACACTTGACTTTATCGCTACTGCATTAGTATGTTTGACCTTTATTCACGAGCACACTAGGTATGGCATGTTCTTCTTGTTCTCCATGGCACGAGAGATAGTTAGAACTCGATTTGATGCTGCAAGAGATGGTTAGAACTCCATTTGACATAGGAATATTGGCTTTTTCTTGTATAGCTGTATTTATTTTATACTAGAGCATTAACTTGTTGAGGCGTATGACTTTCCATGGAATTGGCGGCAATTTCTGCTCTTGCTAGAGTCATTGGCTCATTGCCATGCACTTCGATCCATGATGCACCGGATGTTGTAGATATTGCATAGGCCTATCATATACTATTTTGATGTGTATATCATATGCTTTTTAGGTTTTTAGATCTACTTTATGATGTTGTTATTGCAATTGTGATCCTTTTATTTTACATGATTTGAGTTTTTGATTAAATCTTATATATGCTCACAGTGTATGCACTATTACAGTAGAATGCATGATATATGTTCAAAATTTAGATTTTAAATTCAAATTTAAGTTAGTGGTCATGCATTTAAACTTGAAAATATTTGTAGTGTCAATGAATAAAAAATTTAATCCTTCAATTTTTTTTGTGCTCTACTATGTTTTTATCTTTTCAAGAAGTTTTACTTTTATGGTTCTAGAATATATTAGTGTCAAAGGACTTTTAACTATGATTTTGTTTTGGGAAGAGTGGATGGACTAGGTAATTTGGGGTTCGAGAAGAGGTTCCAAATTCGAACCCTCTCACTTACACAAAAAATTATGATTTTATTCCTATTTATATGATTTTATGGTTTTGTTCCTACTTATATGGTGGAAAAGAATTATTGAATTTATGAATATGAATAAGGTCACTCTCAAATTGTTCTCAGTTGATTGATTGTTGGTATTATATTCTAAATTTTGAAAAAAATCAATTTTATGATGTTTTCTTTTTACTTTTGTATTAAAATTTTTTATTAATAATTTAGAATTTATGAAAGTAACTTTGGATTTTTCTAATAAGTGTCCAAGGCTTCTGAAATTATTTTCCTTCAAAACGAAAAAGCATATTCGAGTTCAGCAATTTAGGTAAAGGCGCGGTTGGGGAAGGTCGAAAGAATTAAAAAAAAAAAAATTCTGGGGTGAAAAAGCACAAACTTCACTTCTCAGAGAATGAAAAGTTGAGTAATTGCCACGCCAGATATAAAAATTGAAGTATTTCTGATTTTAATTTCACAGATTATTCACCACCACCAACTTCATAGTTCCTTGTCTCCCTCAGAAACCACACACAGACAGCACCCACACTGCGTGATCTATATACGTATACCTCTACACAGAGAGATGATTGACGACGACACCTCACCATATTATCTCAAAAGACACACTCACACACTGATAAAACCTCCTCACATGATCGCTACCAATTCTCTATGGCTTCTTTACAGTTCCTCCAATTACCAGCTCACTCCTCCCAATTTAACGATCTCCTCACCGGATATTCACTTCTCCGATCGCGTCTGGAGGCATCCGATTCGAAAAATGCGTTGCTAGTTTTGCGGAGTTCGCTAAGGTTGCGTAGAAGCTACGGTGAAGCTCTCCGGCCAGTGCCGGTGAGAGTTAAGTGTTTTTCGAATTCCACGGAGGAAAAAGAGGCTGAGGTTGTCAGTAACGAAGGTAATGATGAGAATAATGTCGGGAACCAACTGGATTTGGCAAGGCAGGATTTGCCGAATGGTTCCGCCAATTCGCAGAGGATTGTTACATCCACAGGGGATTCACTCTCCCTTGGGATCCGCGAACCTGTTTATGAGGTGATCATGCCATTTTTACTTGGTTCCTAAAAGTTTTGAGTGTGATTTCGTGATTTTTGGAATTAATCCTGAGTTTATAATTTGTGAAATTGAGCTAGTTGGTAAGCAATTAAGATGAGATTATTGAAGCAATTGATATTTGTGTTGCTGTGGAAATCAGAATTTGTGAAATAGCTTGCAAAATAATCTCAGAAAAGGAAAACTTTGTTACTCGGCTACTGATGCAGAGCTACTATTAATTGTGAAATTTGTATGTTCAAAATGAAGCTAAAGAATCGAGGTAGTATGGTAGCTAACAAGCAGAATTTGTATATTGTGAGCGAATGGCCCTTCACATGTTAGGGATGCAGAAGTATAGGCTCAACCAGTAAAAATGAAATTTATAGTAAGACAATACTTTGGACGGAGAGATTATGTCAGAAGGTTGCACTTGTAACTGTCAGAAAAGAGGTTCTAATGTTCGAAAAATTCTAAGAGGCTACAATAGAATAGGATTTTCAACCAAGAAACCGTTTTTGGAGTGAACATAGAAAGGAAGTTTTTCGACTTAGTTACTGATACGGTGCTACTATGAGTTCTGGAATTTATTCATTTTACTTGAAAATAAATGAAATTTTGAGAAAAGTGAAGGAACTATTCTTGATATGTGGAGATGAGGAACTATGGGCTTATCCACTTATAATGAAGTTTCTAATTTGTATCAGCAACTTGTGTGAATGCTCTTTTGATTTGATTACGTTTGTTTTCTTCTGGGATATACAATCAGGAGGATTATGTCTTACATGCTAATGGATTTTCCTCCAATAGGTGGTGGAAGTGAAGTTAAATGGGATGGTATCTACACGGAAAATAAACAGACGGCACTTGCTGAAGTCAAGTGGTGAGCAGGAATCTTCTTGAAATTGTTTATTTTCTTTGAAACAAAGTTGAGTTTTCTTATTTCGGAGGTAAAGATCTGTATAGAGTTCAGAATTTGATGCAAGATAGATATATTGTGAGCTGGAGCTTAGATTTTAGAATTTTTTTCTTTTAGGAATTTTTGGTATTTTGTATGCCAAATATTTTGTATGCCATTCCATATGGATATTCATGGATGACTTTGTATTTAATCTTGAGGCTTTCGCATAAACTGTTTCATTTGGTCTCTCTCTCTCTCTCTCTCTCTCTCTCTCTATATATATATATATATATATATATATATATATCTATCTATTTCTCCCTCTCTCTTGAAATAGATCTCATTTTAATCTCTTGATATGTACTCACTTCCAGGTCTTCGTCCTCGGGATGTTAGAAGTGTCGATCCATCATTGTGGTTGACAAACACAATGCCTTCTTTGTTGGTAGGCATCAAATCTCACCCTTTCTTGCCTGTGACTGTTCCTCTTTTAGTTGCAAAATTAGTTGCAGCATTGCAATGTTTATACTTTCTCTTGTGCCCTACCTAAGTCCATACTGGATGATATATGCATATATGTTTACACACACACACACACGTCTTTCTGGAACTACTTAAAACAGGATGGGGATTGATATAGTTGATTAGGGTCTTCTCTCACCAAAACTTGATGCTGAAATGTGGAATTTCAGATTGTTTTGCTTAAATTCTGTCTGATTCTGATCTCCATTGACCTCTGCAAATCTCTATTCTAGGTTCGCGAGCATGCAATTCTCTTGAACTTGGGCTCCTTACGGGCAATAGTGATGCAAGAAAGTGTTTTAATTTTTAACTATAACCGGTAAACACCTGATTACTTAGATGATGCTACTTAAGTAGACATTTATTATTGCTTTTTTGTACTGTTATTTTAGTTAATTAAATAGTTAAGGTTATGATTGACGAGAACAGATTAATTATTATAACCCTTGCTCTCCTTATCTTTTGCAGTAAAGGAGGAAAAGCTTTCATTGATGCATTATTGCCTCGCTTAAACCCTAAAAACATGAGTGGAGGACCATCAATGCCATTTGTGCTTGAGGTAGTCTGTTACCATTAGCCTATGATTTGATTGTGAAACTTCAATTGCATGGTCATCAATCCACAAACTTCTTATTTCTCGTAGGAATTAACTGTCTCTGGTTTCAAAGTATTAACCAGGTTAATGCCATTTAATGTCAGAAATAATCCAAAATCATTCTCTCTTGCTGTTATGCAATTGGCCATGACAAGTGACTTTTAGATTGCAAATTCAGATGCAATAGCTATCAGGATTAGTAAGTCTCTCAGGGGGCCAATCTGTGATTAAAAACTGTGGAAAATTGAGGCAAATTAGAATGACATCCAAAGTTGTTTTTGTTGCCCAAGTACCAATATCTTGTAATTGCCAATTTATTTTGTATTGCTCAAAATGATCCTTCGGACAGCATCTCTTCATATTCATATGTGTTCTAGTTGTGAATTGCTTCTTTTGCTAAATATCCTTGCCAAAAGCTTTATGGCCTTTTGTAGCATTTTTTATCTTCATCTACTTTCCCATGCTTATTCTTTTATCTAAACATGTTAAAGCTGAATCCTATCCTGTCCTTGTTTTTAAATTACATTTCTGAGGTTTCCCAAAATCTTCATAAGCAAATAATTTCAGGTGGTTGAAGCAGCCTTGCATTCTCGAATACAGCGATTGGAGCATAGACTAATGGATTTAGAACCACGTGTGAGTATGGAGACACTGTGAGTACATTGATTTATTTGCATTTTGAACAATTTGATGATAGGTTGACTATGGAATGGAAGAATTGGGATTTAGGGTAAAATTGGTCACTAGAACAGACCCTAGTCTTCTGGTACCACTCCAGCATTATGCTTTTGTGGACCACAAGTTTACTTAAACATTGGAGACATTTATCATGTATACATTGGTTTTGGCATAATATTGAAAGAAGTAGAGAGTTGTCCTTGTTTCAATTAGATTAATTATCTTTGAAAACCATGGTCTTGCGCATCATGCTTTCCACTGTGCGATATGAATTCTGATCCTTGTGTCTTACTTTACTGGCTCACAAACATATGCTGCCACTTACTGTAGGTCCAATCTTTACTGGAGGTTTTGCCAAACCGATTAACTGCTGATATGTTGGAGCAACTTCGTATTAGCAAGCATACATTGGTATACAGTTAGTTTATGCCTTTGCTCAAGATATATTAAGATGTTTTCTGAGAAGTGATTTTCTGAAATAATTTAGTTGATGTGACTCTTTTCATGAAAGGTTGAACTGGGTTCAAGGGCTGGGGCTCTCAAGCAAATGCTTCTTGATATTCTTGAGGATACTCCAGAAATAAGACGTATATGCATCATGGGAAGAAATTGCACCCTTAACAAAGAAAATAGTGAAATGGAATGTTCTGTTCCTCTGGAGAAACAGATCGCTGAAGGTGAGGAACATATTGATTTGTCTATGGTGCTTCCATGTTCAGGATGACATACTTTTGGCAAGATGAAATGGGCTATTTGATCTTATCATCTGCTATTTCTTGCTTGTTTCTCGTTTGCAGAGGAGGAGGAAGAAATTGAGATGCTTTTGGAAAACTATCTGCAACGGTCAGTTCTCATGCTCATTTTTCTCCATGTCAAGCGCTGAAATCTAATTTTTCCATTCACTCATATCAAACACAAGCAGAGCCAGAGATGCTCCCTTCAGACCACTTAGGCTTCGTTTGGGAGTGGAGGATTCGGACAGAAAAGAAAGGGAAAGAAGAGAAAGTTAGCTTTTCTTTCATTTGTTAGTTTTTAGTAGGAAAGAAAAGAAGGGAAATTGAATGATTTAAGAGGATGAATAGTATGCAAAATTTTTCCTTCCAAATTGGAGAGAAATGGAGAGAAAGTTGGAGGAAGCTTATGAAAGTTTTTTAAAATACCCATTTTATCCTTAAAAATGTCTTAAACAAATATTTAATGACGTTCATATCCAAAATCATTCCACTAATTTTCAAAACTCCCAAACAACATAACAATCCCTTCTCTTCTCTTCTCTTCTCTCATAACTTAAGTTTTCCCTTCTTTTCTTTTCTATCCTAAACTCCCAAACTTAGCCTTAGAGTCCTGATATTACGGAAACATTGTCATGGATGTTTTCATAAGGCTAAAACCAAACTGCAAGATGTCTTGTAGATAATATGAGGATTTGTATTCCTATCAATCTGTAATTTATTGGGGATTTGTAATAGCTTGCAATTTTCACTGATATTTGAATTTCACCCGAAGGAGAGGTTGTGAACTAGAATTTCCTAGTATGTCGGCATTTAGGCACAATTAATTTTGCGAACCTCACCTCTTAACCATTGCATTAGTGACTTTTGCGCAAGTGGAAAGATAATTAGCAGGCCATTGGCTGTGGGTAGATATTGATTTGGGAAGATGCATGAGATTATACTATAGGGTATGCTTGTCTCTATTGATTTCTTCTAGGAGTGTATTTTGTGCATGGAAATTTATCCTGTTAACTGTTCCTGCTTGAAACTGGTTTGGTGTGTCCTGAACTTTCACAGCATTTGAATGAAGAACTTGAAAATACCTGGTCAATTAAGTCAAAAGAGGTGCACCAGGGAAAAGTGATCCCAGTTGTTGCTTTGTTTCAAGGTTCATTATCAGTACAAGAAAAGCCTTCTTTTATGATCTGAACATTATAAGCCGGCTATAATGTAGTCCTGAAAATTGATCCTGTAGTGGTTTCATTCTTTGAATATTTGTTCAAGATGATAGCAGCTGATGAAGTACTGCAGTCTCTCTCCATGGTGGTGTTTTCTACTATGTTGATTGGTGTCAAGAAGATTCTTTATAAATATCTTGCCATATGTGTTAATTCATCATGTATTTCTGGAGTTCCTTACTTTCTTCCACTTTATGTTTGTCAATTTTCTCTGCCTCCCTAGAAAAGGCTATTAAAAGATGCCCACTGACCTGCATTTGCTGCAGCAAAAATTATCGATGCATATTTTCTTTCTTTTTTTTTTTTTACAAATGCATTTATTAGGAGTTGTCTTGTTCCTTTTTTTTTCCTTTTTTGGATTTTGGGATATGTTAATCTTAATTACTTCTTTCTACTGTAGATGTGAATCTTGTGATGGTCAAGCCGAGAGGCTTCTTGACTCTGCAAAAGAAATGGAAGACTCAATTGCTGTTAACCTAAGGTTAGTGTATTTCTCCAGTGTTCCTTAGTTTCATTTGTTTCAGGATAAATATTCAAAGAATTAGATCTTTCACTTTGTAGAGACTCCAATAAAAATAAAAGGATGAATGAGACCTGAAAGAGAAGATGTCAGGATGCAAATTAAGGATGAAGGCTTGAAAGTGATTAAAACTAATAACTGTGGTTTTGCAAGCAATATATCCTGCAAATTACTAAACATGACCAGCAAAGAAGCACTGTTCATGCTGGTGAAACAACATGGGAATCCAGCAGCTTGTGTATTGTAAACTGCTTACCTGCAAATAATAGTAATTAGTGGCTTGCATATTGCTGCATGCTGTGAAGTTTGAGCTGAGTTTACTTAGTTGAAGTCATCTTCAAGTATTGCAAGTTTTGCAACTGAAGTAGCTTGTACGCATAAATTTTGTGTGCTGCTGGTGTTACTAGGATGCTCTAACAATAAATACAGTGAAATCTAATTGTCGTATGAAAGAACTTAACACTGAAATTACAAGTTGTATAGAGCAGACGTTGGCTACTGGGAGCAGTCGCTAGTGCCTTAAATCTGTAAATATTGATGCACAACTAATTTGGTAGAGTTTTCATACTTAAACTTTGAAGTAAATCAAAATGATAAAAATAGTAACAAGAAATTACTTGAAAATGATGTCAGATCTCATTCTTGGTGATGCGGTCTTAACCAAATACAAGCAAAAGCATAGATGCAGTGCATAATTGCAATAATATTTTCAGAGACACAAAAATGCAGACAATAAGGATAAAACAATGGGCATAGGGAACCATTAGTCTTGTACGTGTGTTACCATCCCCAGAATAGTAAAATGCATAGGTAATTATGGTTTATCTGTCAATGTTATGGATGCAAGGCTCAAAAGGCAATAAAGATAGTAGCATAATCTTTTATCTTTAAGTGATAGTACTCTTCATTGAAGCTAGGAATTTCGCCAGTTGTCAATGGTTTTATTGGTATAATGTCTCTTTTCTTATTTAGCTCCCGGAGGCTTGAGGTGAGCAGAGTCGAGCTTCTTCTTCAGGTTGGCGCATTCTGTGTTGCAGTTGGTGCTCTAGTTGCTGGTATTTAGTCCTTAACTATGTTTGCTTTTATTTGGACAATCTGTATGTTCTTTACTTGCACTGTTTTCTTCTCAATCATCGAGTGTTAGAGATCAATTTAAAGTTCTTCCCATTTACATCACATTAGATTAGGTATTATCAGTTGATCATTTTTGTCCAAATGAAGTGATGTGTTTCCCCAAATTGTGAGCGACTGTGATGTTCTGCATTCCAGGCTATCAATTGGCGAAATCTAGGAGATCCTATGCATATGTATGTCTCACATGCATCTACTTTTTCTGAAAATGAAATATTTGAAAGATATCTCAAAGTGGTAATCTGCATATGAATCACAAAATGTAGAGCATAGGTATATTGTCCATATAAAAGTACGTATGAGAAAGACACCTTCTTTCTTGATCTGAAATATGAAGTGCAATTAGTGTAAAGTTGTTGCATCTGGTCTTGAGTGATACAACTTAAGATGTGCTTGAAATTTTTTTAGCTTGACTCACACACATGTGAACACCCAGCTAGAGACATGTTAAAGAGGGGCTCTAAAGAGGGAGGGATACAGTATATACATTGTTTCTTGTTTTTTTAAAATAATTATTTTTATCAGAGTCAAGACATGATAATTGCTATCAAGGCATTACAAATCCTTGTCTTTCATTATCATGCATTCGCTTTTCAAGAGCCTGTTCTGGAATAGCACATTTGGTTTTTTCACTTTTCAGTCTTGTAGGACATAAGCATATCTTTCTAGTTTTGATTTTGTTAATTATTAGATTCCTGCTTGACATCTATGCTTCTGATTAGCACTTTCAGGTAGCTTATGTTGATATAAAATTGGTTGAAGCTGTGAAAGCCAAAAGCAAGGAGAAATTAGGTTCTAGTTCTGATGTCAGATATATTAGCTAATTATGTTTCTAATAGTGGCTAAAACCTTCACAGGCTTAAACTAGGTTTCTTTTTATTTTTTATTTTTTTGGCAGTGGGTTTTCTGTGCGTTGGTTTTTTGTTTTTTTGTTGTTTTAGGGTGGGGGGGGGGGTTGCAAATAGGAAGATCCATGATCCATGCTACCTGACTCACCTAAAAATTTTATTAAAACAAACTTGGACCATTTTCATTTTATATTAGCTCTTACTGTTGTCTAGTGCACGATTTAGTTCGTTCGTTTACTAAACCGGCTTTTGGCAGTATCCATTTGAGCACTTTTAGAAGAGAGTAATCACATGTGCAAGGATTGTTGGGTAAGCATACATGGTAGAAAGTCGGATTCAGGAGATTCAAGTGTTGTACCATGTTGTGGAAACTCTTGTCATAGGTGCATTGGTGCTGTGTGTGCACTTTGCATGAAGGAAGATTTCAGAGAAGCCAAAGTGTTTATTGCCATGACTCTGTCAAATTGAGTTTTATAAGCTATAAGAGCTTGATTTCCCTGCTAGAAATATTTGGATGCCACGGATACATATGGGTTAAGATTATGATTTTAATATTCTACTTTGCATTGATAATATTCTGACTGGAGGGTGGGTTTTTTTTGGTTTCTTTTTTTTTTTTCTTTTGTTGGAGGGGAGGGGATGGGGAGGCTGTTAATCTCAGTTTTATGCAAGGAACTTGCATCCATCCAGACTAAAAGATAAGAGTACTGTTTATGCTGTTACCCTTTCTTCACAAAGGATTTCCGAATCATTTAGTAGTCTATATACACCTCCAACGCATTACAGATAAGCTTTCTGCAGACTGAGTAAGAATTAATAGAAAATTATTGGAGTGAATTTACTGCATATTGAGAACAGGAGTGTTCTTATGACTAAAATTGCAAATATGAATTTTTGAGTTTTCAATTTATTGGTGTGTCATTAGTGAATTTTAAAAACTCAATCTGAGGTCACCCTTGTGCCTTAGTTCTTTCGTTTTCTTCGGAATGAAGACTATTTCCAGCATGAGCTGCTCATTTGCTCATGTTTTTTACAGGTATATTTGGCATGAACTTGAAATCGTATCTTGAAGAGCATGTGGTATAGCTTCTTTGTCCACTATGTACTAGCTTCCGTCTTTGTATCTGTATTGATATACTGTCATTCACAACTTATTCTGTATGTTCATCTTCTTTCGAATCATGCAGTTTGCATTTTGGCTAACAACAGCCGGGATCATAGTTGGCGCTATTGTGGGCTTTTTCCTCACGTATTGGTATCTAAGGGCAAGGAAAATCCTGTAGACATTAAAGTAAGTTTAACTCTCTTCCCTTGCTGGTGATGAAGTTTCTATAACTGTATCGTTTCTCAGATCATGTTTTCAGTAAGTTAATAAAACAAAAATGAATTCATCAGGAAAGCAAAAGGCCCCAAAGGCAGAGAAAAATCTCTCTTTACTGGTTTTCAAAGTTACTATAGTAGTCGTTTTTAGGATAATGGTTTCTGTAAAGTAAAAACTACTCATGGCAGGCCTTTGGCTTCGTATTGCCGATGCTTTGCGAAAGCCTAAACTGTCTCAAGTGAAATTTATTGCTTCCTGTTATCTAGGGTGCTTCAAGACAATTTATCACCTGCTACCTAATAAAAATGAGATCCACAGGTTTTTCTTATGTCAAGCAATCGAGTATGAAAGTCAACTCGGAAAGATAAAATGCTTTGTGCTACTACGATAAGTTATAAGACCACTGTGGAGATTGGTTTGTACTTGTGATGCATACAAAGTTGCAAACCAAGTGCGAAGTATGAGAGTGGACGAGAAGGCTGCATTGCAGTATAGCGTTGTTCGACACTTCCAACTGTTTCCAGACAAATTGTCAAACTAATGGAGGTGGATTTCCATAAAGACTTGAAGTTAGGGTTATGGATGAAAAGAATTCAGCTTCAGCAATCATACTTGCAATAGTCATAGATTCTAGTAATATTTTGACAAAAACATTTGTACAGATAATTCGTTCATGGATCTGTCTTCCCTTCTAACGTAGCTGAATTATATTCTTTGTCGGGTTGGCTCCAATTAAGTTGCATTTGGAAAACTAATTATTTGGAAGGTTGGTTCGACATTATGGCTTAAACGTGCTTTTTCTAATCACCTTTTTCTTATTTTTCTAACCACTACTTTTTATCTCATTTATATCATATCATAAAAAATGCTACATTGAATAGCATAAAATGGTTTTCAAAACAATCTTCAATTGCAATGACCAGATTTGTGTTTGTTTTCACGTAGAAAAACATTATTAATGTTTTTTACACTGACATTTTAACAACACATGTAATATTTAGTTTGAATGCGCTATCAATATGTTAAAGACTGATTCATATTTTTATCTTGTTCAATTTTTTTTGGAACTTTATTCAAGAGAATGCATAATGTAGTTCTATATAAAGTATTAGTACACAAAACAACAAATTGAAAACAAAAATCAGTAGAGCCCAACTTTATTGTTATGTAAGATTCGTTAGGCTACTTAACAAATGTCAATGTGAGCTCGTCAAAAATCACATTCAAAGCGGGATCTTCGTCCTCAAGCTCAAAGTATTCATTAAATTCTCCGGTGGTTTACAACCTTTCAGATTAATTGCGCACAGCCACAGAGAAAACCATGGTTCCCAATAGAGCAACAGATAGTGCCACAAGCAAAATTACCCTTATACTTTTGATACACAGAAACAATCACTAGCAATATAACCATCCCCAATAGAACAAAGCGTTTATGTGCTGGCTCTATCAAAAAGAACTTGTACTACTGATGGGCTGGATACTCGAATGCACAAAGAAATAAATTGCTATCCTCTAACAGCTTAAACTTTTTGATGATTAATGAGCAAACATTTTAATTTACTAAACTTTGTGAACCACAAAAGGGTCAACGGCAACATAAAACAAAGCAATACCAGAATAAATTAACTATCACTGTTTTGGTAGGTTTACATTTGATGGAGAATCTTTAACTTGCTTTGATTTACCATCAATGTTCATATTCCCAACTCTAACTTCCATCGCCTCCCTCTCATCCTTATCTCTCTTCTTTTCAGCACTGCCATTTTCAATTGCCTGCATTGGAGGATTACAAGAAGATGGCACAAGCCGCCTGGGGCCTGTACTGATCCATGAATGACTAAGACATTGTGCTGCAGTAGGTCTTTTCTCAGGCACAAAATCAAGTATCGGTATCAAGAAATCTGCCAGATCAGTTGCATCTTGCTCACTAAACTCGTATTTTTCCATTAGCACCTTGTTAAGGGGCCAGAATCTTAATCGACGAATATGCCTTAGATCTCCAAATCTGTTAAAGAATTCCCGTGAATAGCGGCCACCCAAAGCAATCTGCAAGATGCATCTAATGAGCTCAAAAATTGTAGCCTTAGGCAACTATACTAAATTTAAGTTCAAAAAGACATTTACAAAAGATTGTTCATTTAACATAATAACAGGCGGGGGTAATGTATTCTTTTCACATGCTTCAGCGCAGCATAAAAAATCCCCTCACCTTACGTGGCATCATCCCAAGAAGCTCCATCATCAAGGCCAAGTGATCCTGCAAAAATTAGATATACGTAAGGTTCTATGATAGACTAGACCACAATCACCAATATTGCATCTAATTGAATCCTTTGCCAGGATTAAAGGACTGGTTTCACTTAACAGATAGATAGCTGGAATTAAATAGGTACTTAAAAGAGGTAAAAATAGATCTTGAAATGCCAACAAAAACTTGAATGAGTCACAACTTGGCAAGGATATCAGTTTTAAAGGTCACAATCAAAGTACCTAAAAGATAATCAGATGCAGATGATAAAATTAAAGAACCAAAGGCAGAGAAAAACCATACATTTGGCAAGACGATCCCTGTTAATGTAGGGGTATTTACAGTTTTGGAATTGATGGATTATAATGCTCATTTTAGTAATACATACCTCATCCCTGTCATAGCTGTCGCCACTGTGAGGATCAAAGAGAACATCTCCAGTGGCCAGCTCAAAGCATATGCAAGCAAATGACCATAGATCAGCGGATGTTGAGTACTTAGATCCAAGAATGACCTCCGGACACCTGTACTGCCTCGTCTGAATATCACTTGTAAACTGTTTATATGTCCAACATGCATTTCCAAAATCTACTAATTTACACTTAAGATCAACCTCACCGAGCAGTTTCTGCCTAATAGAACGGCTACCTCTTTTACTCCCCTGATGTCCATCCTTTGTTCCTTCACCTAGTGGTGACTTATCTTTGGCAGCCGAAGAGTTGGATTGCTCTTCAGCAAAGTCCACATTGGTTTTCTCATCATGGCAAGATTCTTCAGCACTTGTTGCCTCATTATCTTGCTCAATGTCCTCTGCAGCTTCCTTCCCTGCACACCTTTGTGCAGCTCGTTTAGCTTTTCTACGAATTTTCTTTTTCTGATTCTTTGTTAGGTCACCGTTCAAAGTCTTGGCATCTTTAGAGGACCCAGCCTCAGTTAAAGCCCTACTCTTACTCAAAGGAAGAATGAGCGGTGCACCTGATTGCCTTGGATCTTTAGATGGATCAATCATTGACAATAGTAGTATATTTTCTGGCTTCAAATCTGTGTGTATTATAGAAAGCTGGCGATGCAGGTAGTCCAAACCGACCAAAACATGAAAGCAAATTTCTTTGACCATGTGAAGCGGGATCCCTCGGTAGTCGGAGTACTTAATAAGGGTCAGAAGATTGTCACCCAGATACTCAAAAACCATACATACATGCTGCCCATTAGGCCCTGAATGCTTAAAGTGATCCAATAACTTCACCACACACTTGTTATCCTCTGGGTCTCCCTCAGCAATCTGCTTCAATATTGTAATCTCATCCATTGCAGCTTCAGTGTAATGTTGTGCACTCTTCTGAACCTTTAAAGCAACATACCTCTAACCCCCAAAAGCAGCAACAGAAATATTATCACATTGTCAGTTACCGGCACAATACAACAAGTTCATGATATAGGCATCAATGGCCCAGAAAATCATGCATTTTCTAGTTACTCTGTCACTGTGCCTCCTAAACCTAACCACCACCACCCCCTCCCTGGCCCCCTAACCCAGGCCAAAAAAAGAGAAAAGGAAAGGAAAAAGACCAAATGCAAGTAATTGCTAGAAACAGAAGAATAAAACGACCCGTAAGCTCAAGTTACAATTCAAACCAATGCGAATCAAAAGCTATCCCATTATATACTTCTCTTGCATCAAGAAAGCATTGCCACAACAAATTCAACTAAATCAGTCCAGATTTTAGGTCAGTTATACAGAAAAGAACCAGTAATTTCATAGATATGCTTAATTCCTAAACAACATAATCTCCTCACGTACGCATCCAAACACACACGCATCATTCTTTACACATGAATTAAATTAGCATCAGCAAAATGTGTAGACAAACATATGCATTTTTCTATAGAGATTGGGAAACAAAATTACAGATTTTTGAGAATCCCAAGCAAGCCAAACTGTGGAAAAATGGCCCCAACCAAGCTTGCTCTGCACCACATATCGACCGTGCTTGAAGGAATCGCCGATTCGGACAGCGTGGTAGCCTCCGCGCCTGTAATCCTCGGTCCCTTCATCCTCCGACGTGTAATCGTAATCGCTCGTCTCACTCCGATCGTCTCCATTCCTTTCCTCCCGGACGTTAGCCACCTCCGCCATCACCAAATCACCGGCTATCGAAGCCCCGGAAAATGATTTAACCCGCCGCAATCCAAATCTACGGTCGAATCTGAAACCCCAGCTCGCTCGCTCGCTCTTGGAATCTCTAGATACTTCTTACTATGTGTGCGTGTGTATGTGAGAAAGGGGGAGACAACAGGGAAAATTTAGGGTTTCTACTGTTCTTTTTTTTTTATATTTAGCGATATTATTTATTTTTAGTTCAAGTGGGAGAGAGGAGGGAGGTGTGTGAGTGCGTGTTTTTTTTTTCACTACAGCATTAAATTGTTTTTTGCTTTAATTTTCGTAAATTAGTTTTGCTTATTTTCCTTTTTTATTTTTCTTATTGAATTTGTTTTGGATTGAAATGATTTCAAATAAAATAATTTGCTTCATAAATTTCAATTAACTTTTTATCTTTTGAATCACTTTTTTATTTCACATACATCACATTATAAAATATACTACAGTAATTATCTCAAATAAACTCTTATTCAAACAAACCCTTTTTTTCTGGGTTCAGGGATTATTATTTATTACTACTTATTTGCAGCAGAGTATTTCCTTTTTTTTAAGGGAAAAAAAAGGAAGATAAGAAATAAAATGGTTATAGCAATAAAGATGCGGGGGAGGGGTCTGCCTTGCCGGGAAATTAAAGCAATGAAGTAATGATTGATAGTGACGGTTTAGTTCTCAGTGCCATTGTGTATGGAAGTGGTATATGCCGCTCCACTCTGTAATGGATCACTGATTTGTGCAACTCCACAATTATACGTGATTTGGGGGGAAATTTTGAACAAGTGAAAAAGTCTGCTATTTTCTGAATTGAAGTGCATATAATTCGGGAGTTTGTTTTTTAATTTAACTCTGAACTTTTTATAGTATTCCTGACTTAATTCAGGAGTTATTGAATTTTCCATGTATGCCATGTATGATTAAGAGTAACCAAGTGGTTATGAATTGTAAAAGAAGATTTATGTTATGTGCATGTAAATCTGCTGAAGATTAAGCATGTTTAGATGCAAAATTATTTGAAAAAGTTATAATAATTAATATAACACATTTTCTAATGTGATATGTTTGAAATCAAAAGATAGTACAATAGATAAGAAGATCAGAAAATGTGTTTATTGATGTAAATACATTTTTTTCCCAAATAGTCACACATCCAAACACACTAATTGGTCTTTTAAACTAGGGAAAATTGCAGAAACCTCCCCTGAAATTTCTAACACTAGCAGTCACTTTCCCTATAGTTTAAGAAATAGCACTAACCTCTCTTGAACTTACTGATTCTGTTGCATATTCAATCC